GATTCTTTAAGGCTTGTTTCTTAAATAGAAGCATTTACCTCCTCCACTCCCCCCCGCCCCCCCCAACTCAATCATTTTGGTATGTGGGAAACTATGATTATGTTAGCTTTCCAGCAGATGGCACTGATAAGCCAAAATATTATTCGAAGGACCATAATAGGAAAACTTTCATCAGGATTAAATATACATAATCTTACAAGAAAGATGTCTTAACCAACAAGACCAAACATCCCATGGATTATTTTGTCATTGTTAAACGTTTATAAATATCAGGTCAGGCTTAAAGATGGAGGGACACATGAGCTGTAAAAACCTAAACCACGTACAGGGGAACTTTTGCTGCAAAGTCTCCCCAGATTCTGGAGAATGAGCCCTACAAGGCTGTGGTCAGCGCTCGGCTAGAGGAGCAAGGCCGGGGCAGTGGGCTGTCACCCGTAGGGAGTGGACAAATTCAGCGGGCTCATTTTGACATCGCCCAGGCAGAGACAGGCAGTGTTAGAGGGTCAGGGTCAGGGGAGGGAGTGACTGCCTTTCACCCTGGAATCCAGGGAAAGCTACTTTCAGCTACCGAGAGTTTTCAAGAGGGTTACAGCCGGCCTGTAGCCTCCATGCAGGGAGAGAGCCAAAGTACCATCCCTGACCTCCCTCCAAAGTCCAGCTGTCACCTAGCACCGGTCAAATGCAACCCAAACCCAGAGGTGCTCCATGGCGTCGGGCTCATGGCGGGGGTGCTGGAAGATGGCCACCGGGGGCCAGGTAAAGGTTGAGCGGAGCCACCTGAACAGTGGGCACTCAGACCTCAGTGCAGGGAAAGTGAGCTACACATCCCTCAGCTGTCCAGTCGGTTCCGACTCCTAGTGACCCCGGTGCAGCAGAACTGCCCGGTCCTGCACCATCGCAACTGTGAGGCCTCAGCCCGTGCCCGTCCATCTGGTGGAGAACCTTCTCTTTCACTGCCCCCACTTCACCAAGCAGGGTGTCCTTCTCCAGGGACTGGTCTCTTGATTACACGTCCAGAGTTGATGAGGCAAAACCTCATCAATTATCCTGGTTTCTAAGGAGCATTCCAGCTATATTCTGAGACAGCTTCACCCAGCACATTAGCTAGGAAGCCTCAGATCAGACACCAAACATCTAACATCAGTGAGGGAGGGAACACATCATTAACGTCATAGGTGGCTGCCATCCCCCTGGAAATGCCGGGGCATCAGAAGTACTGCTATTATGCCCTCTGTGTTTTCTCAGCAGTTGGGGGAGACGAAGAACGCGAACTTTGTGCCCCACCCTGCAGGGGCAATGCATGAACCCAGAGGGGCCACGTGGACATCTTTGAGTTTGTCAATGCATTTAATACTGATGAGAATCTTAATTTTTACACACAACCCTTACTTTTAACCACAGCCATTTCTGTTGTTTTTAAGCTAAACGGACCAGAGACTCGCAGAACGAGTTGCACCCTCGCATGAACAGTAGGCTGTGTCAGCTTGGGGTTTTCATAAGGTGACGAAAGAACCCCTGGAATCCACTACTCGAGTCGATTCTCTCTCAGGGACTCTACAAGGGGGTACTCCCCCCCCCAAAGCTATGCATTCAGTTTTTCTTACAAAATAAACCTTATTCACTTTCAAAGGACTCCCCATTACACTTAATACATTTGTCCAATCGGTGATTCTGTTCTTGGAAACAGTTCTCAAACTCATCTGTTTGGATGGCGGACAGCACCTCCCTCGTTTTTTTCTTCACTTCTCTATTATCAAATTGCTGTCCTTCCATGTCCCTCTTCATTTGTGAAAACAGAAAGAAGCCACACAGAACAAGATCAGGTGAGTCAGGTGCGTGGGGCAGGAGAGGCATTCTGTTTTTTGCCAAAAACTGGCACCCTGAGATGATTGTGTAAACAGGTGCATTGTCATGGTAGAAAAACCAGTTCCCCGTCTGCCACAAATTAGGTCTTATTTGTCGGACACTGTTACACAATCTTTAAAGGTTGATTAGCAGTCTGACCTTGTGGAATGTACTGCAAATGCACTGTGAGTCGACATTTTCATCCATTCGGGATGTCCAGAACGAGGTTTGTCATCAATCGACAAATCACCTGTTTTGAAATGAGAAAACTACTCGTGCACTTGAGTTTCCCAGTGTATGCTGTGTTCAATATCACAACACTTTTTGCAGAATTTTTCCCAGACAGGAAACAAAATTTCACAGCCACACCCTGTTCTTTTAAATCGGCCATCACAAAAAAACAAGGTTCATGCAAAACTGCTTTCACGTAAACATTCACTGTGTCCAGAGAGAACCTTCCCAGGTGACGCCACTAGGGGCACTAAGTCAGAGTGAGTTGCTTGATGCTTGCCTAGTGGGGGAAATGCACTGTTATTTTGGGGGCATCCCTCATATAAAGGGTTTTCAAGGCTGTTAACCTTCCTGGGAGCAGCCAGCCTCATCTTGCTCCCTCAGAGAGGTTAGTGAACTTCAACTGCTGACCTTGTAGCTAGCAGCCCAATGCCTCGCCCGGAGTGACATTGGAGAGAACTCTCAGTTACGGGTCTTAGGAGATGCTACATGGTGCCGCCATCTGGACTTTTTAAATACTCCAATCTGACCAGTTATTTTCCATCTCCCCAACCACCACCACCCTCTCCAATCCCTCAAAGCACCAGCCAACAGCACCTCGGCGAATTGAGGGAAGGAAGAAGTGTCTGGGCTGGATGGGGTTGACACCGCTCAGGGCAGGGAGCCTAAAGGGTTTTGACAAGGAACATAACACCATGAAGTGCTTACAGAGACATGCTGGCAGGCGTGAGGTGGGCTTTACCGCAGAGACACCAGGTGACTGCACTTCTGGTGCTTCTTGTAGCCAGTTGGCAGAAGAAAAGATGGATGAGGGAGGCTGAGATTTGGAGCAGTGGTGACGGATCGGGCTTGACAGTGATTTGAGAGCTAAAGGGAGCATGGGGAAAGGCCAAACTCTTGTTCTGAGCACAGACCAAGGAGAGCTCCCTGGGCCCAGAGTTTAAAGGCACTTGGAATGCATTTCTGTCGCCACATCGTGAGCATGCGGTTAAACATGCAGGGAGTCTGGCAGTCTCTGGACCATGGTTCCCAAGGGTGGTCTTCTTTGGCTGCCCCACTAGACAAAGCTGGCTTCGCCAACCCACTTCAAGGCTAGCCGACTTGTGCTACCCATTTGACCTACACAAGGAGGGCTGGCCGGCAGGGTGGAGGAAGAGGATGATGGGGTGGACCTTGCTTTGGACACTGGGTTGGGGCTGTTGGATGGAGCTTGGGTGAGACCTGGGCGGGGTGGACTAGGGAGCAGGGCAGATGACCAGCATGCAAGGTGAGCTGATCTGTGCTCATGGACTAAGCTTAGTCGGCAATTCTAGATATGGGTCCTGGGGGCTGCTACTACAAGGTCAGCAGTTCCAAACCACCAGCCCCGCAGAAGCCAGGAAAACGAGGCTATGTACCCTTAAAAATTAAGAGTGATAGTTTCAGAAACTCCCAGGGGCTTTGACTCAGGAGGAAGGTGCCGTCGGGTTGGGAGAGAGATGCTGGCCAGACCGAGAGGCAGAACCTTTGTTGTGCTGGGAGAATGTGAAATTACTCAGTATGGATTATGAAGGTAGCACAAGTCAGCCTGTGCTTGCCTTGCTTACTGGCCACTCCATCTCTGTCAAGATTATATTTCTGCAAAGAGGCTTTGATTCTGTAGGAAGGTGCTGTGGGGGTGGGGGAGGGGCAGGTTCCAGCCAGACCTAGAAGCACAATCTCTGGGGTGGTGAAAAAATGGGATGCCCACTACGGATGAGGAAGTAAGCAAACATCAGCCCATGCTTACCTTGCTTACAGGGCCCCTGACACTGGGGAGGTCTGTTGGAGACCCAGCCTTCAAGGCCTCCCATGCTTAAAGCAGACACGAATCACCTGGGGACCAATTAAGGGCAGCTTTGGCATCGGTGGCACCTGGGGAACTTGTTAGCAATGTTACCGTTTCCACCGGACGAAATCTGGAGAAACAGTGGCCCCCTGTGTATGGTGACCAGACATCCTGATTTTTGCGAGACAGTCCCGATTTTTGGAAAGAATGCACGACAAGCTAGGAAACAGCCTATTTGGTCCATATAGACCAAAATTTTCATCAAGAACCCCAGCCCCCCCGGTCAATGGTGTCCCCCTTTAAATCTGGTCACCCTACC